ACTTCCTCCAGGCAGCCCTCGATATCTTTGGACAGTCATAAATGGCAGTGCCCTACTGTTGTTAATAAAAACTAATAATTATAAATACATAATAATGAATAACAATTAATTAAAAATTAGTAGGTATGGTGACATGCACCTGTAGTCCCAGCTACTTGAGAAGCTGAGTTCGAAGGATTGCTTGAGCCTGGGAGTTTGAGGTTGCAATGAGCCATGATTGTGCCACTGCATTCTAGTCTGGTCAACAGAGTGAGAACCTGTCTCAAAATAAATACATAAAAATAAATGAAGTAAAACACATATCATCCAACATTTATGGAGCACTTACAATGTGTCAGTCACAATAGGATAAAGCCTTTCTTATGGGCTTATCTCAGTGAATCCCTATAAGAAACTTACGAGAAAGGCCCTTTTATCAGCCTCATTTTACAGACCAGAAAACTGAGGCCTCGAGGTAAACAATTGATACTTAGAAGTCGGAGTCAAAAAGTAGCAGAGCTGAGTAAACCCAGGAAATCTGGCTCTTAACCATTTTGCACACTGGCTCGGCTGTGGCTGCCCATTCCTCTGACCCCATCCCGTGCCTGTCTTGTCCTCCGACCTCTTTTGACAGCTCCTTGAGAGAGAAGCCGCCTGTCCCCCTGGCCTCCCACTTTCTCTCACAGCCCCCAGCTCAGTGCTGGGCACACCCGGGAGCTGAAAACTACTTATTAACTGCTTTACTCCGCCTTCACTGGAAAGTGGTGATGACACAGGATTTGGGGTGGAGGTGGGGAGGGAATCCCACAGATCAGCTTGGGGCTTCTTTAGGGCTCTGGCTCTTGGTCAAGTGAGATTAGGAACGATATTTTAAGAGCAGAGTTCTTTAGGGAATCTTCTACACGCCTATATTTTGCTTGCCTAGCATGATGCCTGGCACATAATAGGGTCCAATACATCTTTGTTGAATGACTGAATGAGCTTTAAAAATTCTAAGGAATCTCACTGCTGTTGCTAGGGCTGCCGCTGGCGTCTCAGGCGGTGCTTTCGGCTCTGTCTTATACATCAAGCTCTGCCTGTCTCGCTTTTACACCACAGTGGAAGCCAAAGGCAGGGCCGCTTCGAATGCAAAGTGGCTACTTTTGCTTGGTTTGGCTTAGAAGACATGATGCCCGGCCCCTGCTCCCGGGGGTTCTGGCACTGCTCAAACCAACTGCGCCCCCTGGTACTGAGATGTATGTGCATTTCAGATTCGTCAACATTCACGCCCTTCTCCCACTCCTAGCCATCTGCTGTTCTGATCTCATCTTTGCCTCACCTCCTTAACCAAAGATTCTTGAGGTGCAGGAAGACAGCCCCAGTGACCCCAGAAGCTTGCCTTCCTGTTCTCCAATCTCGGGTGATTTTTCATCCTAAAACCATCACATAAGCTGTTTATGGCGTCCATAACCCGCCTGGAGCTTTTAAGCCTCTTTCTTGCATGGCTTTTTATGAGTCTGAGATAAACAAACAACTCACTTTCTCCAGGGACTTGGAGCCCAGATCCTTAACCTCACTCCTTAAGCCCATGGCCCCTGAGGGAGCAGAGCCAGAGGGTGGGCCCCAAAGGACTGTGGTTAAATGTGCCATGTGGAGGAAGCAGATAACATCACTGCTGCTAACGGGGGAAATGCGGCCAGAGACCTTGAAGCAAAGATGAGCCAGAGGGCAGGGTTGCCAAGAGTCATCAGAGCAGGCTCTGCTAGGTTGAGAAGCTCTGCTTAGACACTAAGCGTTGTGGCAACATGTCAAATCTTGGGGGCTGTCTCCTCCAACCCTTCATTTGGCACTAAAGAAATCTAAGTCCTGGGAGGGGAGGTGACTTGGCCAAGGTCATGTAGCCTCGGGGAGGCTGCGTGGAATAAATGATGGAATCTGTTCCCTGCACCCACTTCTTCCTTCCCATCAGACCCTGGTCTCTATAGGGCATTCAAGTCGTTGCAGGGAGGCTGGCTTCACCCCAATGGCAGAGGTGAAATATGGGATCTTGGCCAAGTTAACCCGCATTTTCTAACTCCCTGGCCACATTGGTTGGTCTTGGAGTGACCCAGAATTTAAGGCTGGTCTAATCAGAAAAAAAAAACTCTGAACCTTTGAGGAAAATCCTGGGAAATACTGATCCTTCTTTCCCTGGGCTACAAATGAACACAGGATACAAAGTGGTCTCAGCCGCTGAGGCCAGGCATCATGTGACATCAAGAGGGAATAAGGTAGACTCCATGGAAAGCAGAGAGGAGAGAAGGAAAGAAAAGGAATCCCAGGTGATAGTTCTTAGTTTCTGGATCAAACTTCACCTGAAGCCTTTCCTCTGCAATGTTCAGGTACATGATCCAGTAAAGTCTATTTTTAAGACAGACAGGGCTGGGTGCACTGGCTGATGCCTGTAATCCCAGCACTTTGGGAGGCTGAGGCAGGCAGATTGCTTGAGGTCAGGAGTTTGAGATCACCCTGGCCAACACGGTGAAACCTCACCTCTACTAAAAACACAAAAATTAGCTGGGTGTGGTGGCACGTGCCTGTAATTCCAGCTACTCAGGAGGCTGAGGCATGAGAATCACTTGAACCCAAGAGGCAGAGGTTGAAGTGAGCCGAGATCACACCATTGCACTCCAGCCTGGGCAACAAGAGTGAGACTGTGTCCAAAAAAAAAAAAAAAAAAAAAAAAAAGACTAAGTCTTATTACTGTTAGTAATAGATGTTATCACTTGTAAACAAAATATCCCCAACTGATAAACAGATGACTGGTGGCCCTAGAAACTTGCCTCTGGTCTTTTGCTCCTGGTTAGGGGTGCTGGACCCAAAGGGAAGGCCTGTATGCCTGGCTACATGCCTGGCTAAGCTTTAGGTATAACTAAGGCTGACTGGTTTGGAGTTCAGAATCCCCACTAGCAGACATTTTATACTTCCCTTGTTCAGGCAAGTGGGTTGGTTAATTATGTGGGTTCAGAAAGCATTTTCTTGGTGCTTACTCCCGTCTTGCCCTCACGAACCCTTAGCATTTTTGCACATCTCTATAGCAATGCTTATCTCACTATATATATATATATTTTTTTTTTTTTCTTTCTTTTTTTAGATGGAGTCTTGCTCTGTCACCCAAGCTGGAGTGCAGTGGTGTGATCTCAGCTCACTGTAGCCTCTGCTTCCCAGATTCAAGTGATTCTCCTGCCTCAACCTCCCAAGTAGCTGGGATCAGGCTGTGTGTCACCACACCCGGCTAATTTTTGTACTTTTAGTAGAGACGGGTTTTCGCCATGTTGGCAAGGCTGATCTCGAACTTCTGACCTCAGGTGATCCTCCTGTCTCGGCCTCCCAAAGTGCTGGGATTACAGGCGTGAGCCACGGCGGCTAGGCCTATCTCACTATATTTTATTGATTAACATCTACATCAGGGTTCTCTAGACCTCAAGCTTCCTGAAGATGAGATTAAACCTCATTCACCTTTGGATGCCTGCACCTGGCCCACTGTCTGACACAAGCTTTGTATTCACGGATGCTTGTGGAATGGATGAAACAATCTCTTTCCACTCCCTGCCTCATTGTCTGATGAGCCTTCATTATACTCCACTTTCTTTCCCTTTGTAAATTAGGATGAGGTGGAAAAGCACAGCAGACAAGATGCTAAGTATTCACGCCAAGTCCTCGATTCACAAACTGAGGATTTGATCTGCTGTTGTATTCCCAGAGTGCTAGGTCCCGTATGGGACACCAGCTCCATCCCATATGCTCACTGTTCTGCGCTGCTGTGTATAAAGCCCTGGGCAAGAGGACAAGGGAGGGAAAAACTGGAAAGACTGAGTCAGAGAAGGCTCGGGATGAAATTTGAGTCCATTGGGATCATTCTGCCTAAACCCCCATCCACAGAGGAGAAAGCCTGGGGCCAGGGAGGAGTCCTCCTCCTCCTGGCTCAAGGTCACCGGGACAGACCAGTCTGGATGGGAAATAATTCCCCTTTCAAAAGCAAGACCTGTTTCCCCAGGACCTGGGCCCTGTGCAGACAGGAAGGCGGAGTTCAGGATGGATGGGGAAAAGGACATGCTGGGAGGCTCTGGGGCCATTTTTTGGGGCTTGCATCCTGCGAAGGTTGAGTAACTCCATGGGTCTCCCTTTTGCCGCTAAACCACTTGCCAACCGGGTTTGGAGTCTTTTGGCTTGTGAGTCCTCAGGGACCAGAGAAGTGACTCAGTGAACGCTTAGTACATCGTTGGCACCGGGGATTGTGTGTGATTCAGGAGTCACTCACAGAGCTTGTGCTGATTAACTCCAGAAACTCACCCAAAGCCTCCTCCCCACCCCTTCAAGCCCAGGATGAAGGGATCAGACTGTGGCTCTCACACTCCTGAAATGTTTCTCACGTGTCCACCTGCCAACCGGTCTGGACCACGAACTCCGGGGCCAGGAGCTTCCTCTACGCACTGCCTCCTGCCAGCGGCCCACATGGAAAACAGGACCTCGGGACCCCCTCTCTTCCTGACCTCCCCTAGATTCTGAGCGGGCACACCCTCAACCAAAGCTCCCCTGTTTTGCTGCCGCGCCTCTCTTCTTCCGCCTTGGGAATTGTCCCCCTCGCCCCCCATCCTACTCCCACTTCGTCCTGAGGGGTGTCTGTCTTCTCTGATCGCCCCCACCCCCTTCCTATCCCTCCTCCTTTTCCTCTCTCGGCTCCGCCCCCAGGCCCCGCCCTCTCCGCCCCGGCCCGCGTTTCCTCGGCCCCTTCCCCATCACCCTCCTCTCCAGCGGGGACAGGGGTGTGGGGAGGGGGCGCCGCGCGGGCTAGACGCCTGCCCCTCCCTGCGCGCCCAGTCCCCGAGCGCGCGCCCGGCGCCCCCCTCCGCGGCCTCCCCGCTCCCGCCTCCCCGCCTTCTCCTCCTCCTGGTGACGTCCGGGTCCCTGCCCGTCTGAAAACTCCGCGCCGCGGCGGTGGAGGCGGCGGCGGCGGCGGCGGCGGCAGCAGCGGCGGCGGCGGCGGAGGAGGAGCAGCGGCGAGCCGAGGCGGCGGCGGCGGCCGGAGCAGGAGCCCGAGCGGCAGTCGGCGGCCGCGGGAGCCGCGGGGAGCGCGGGGGCGGCCCGGAGCGCGCCGGGGTCCCCGCGCCCCGCTCGCCCGCCGCGCTCCGAAGATGGTGGCGGCGCCGTGCGCCCGGAGGCTGGCCCGGCGCTCGCACTCGGCGCTGCTCGCGGCGCTCACGGTGCTGCTGCTGCAGACGCTGGTCGTGTGGAATTTCAGCAGCCTCGACTCCGGGGCCGGGGAGCGCCGCGGGGGCGCAGCGGCGGGCGGCGGAGAGCAGCCGCCCCCGGCCCCGGCCCCGCGCCGGGAGCGCCGGGACCTGCCCGCCGAGCCGGCTGCAGCCCGAGGAGGAGGAGGCGGCGGCGGCGGAGGAGGAGGAGGACGGGGGCCCCTGGCGCGGGCGCGGGGAGGCGGCCCCGGAGAACCCCGTGCACAGCAGCTGGCCAGCCGGGGGGCATTGCCCGCCCGGGGTATGGTAAGATGCCCTTTCGGCTCGCGCCCCACGGCGAGGGAGGGAAGAAGGCAGCCCGACCCCGCGCCCCGCTAGCCCTTGAGCCCGGTCATCAGACTGGGACTCTGCAAGCCTACCGACTCCACATCGCCTCTTGCCCCGGGAAGTCGGGTGGGGTCCCTGCCAAGGCTCAGGGGTCGTGGGCTGCCCCTTTCAGAGTCTGAACACGGACCCTTTGGGGTCTGGGGGAAGTTATCTCCAGTGGGGGCGCTTTGGGGGTTACCGGAGCCTGGCTGGGTTCCTGTTCTCCAACACTCTTGCTGGGGACCCCAGCTGACTTGCTCCGTGCGTGTGGGTCTTGGTGCCTCGCTCCCTTGTCTGAGTGAGTGGATCGCGCCGGATCCTCAGCCGCTGATCCAGGGCGGTTGTCGCAGCAGCATCTCTTTGGTTTTTGCCGAGCTGGATGCAGACAGATGAGCCCTCTGTTCGTCCTGGCCTGCGATGAGGGCTGAGCTGGGCGTCCCAAGTCCCCGACCATGCCCCTGAATCAGTACTCAGTCCGGGGTGTCTGGTCTTACTTTGGGTGTTCTGTTTCTCCTCTCTGGATGTTTGAGCCTTCCGTCTTCACCTTCTCTGTCTCTAACCTTGCCGTCTTCCGTGCCCTCTCTGACTTTATCTCCTCCCCATCTCCAGTTTCAGGGCATGGCTCCTTCTCCTAGCTGGTTGTCTCTGTCTCTCTGTCTTGATGCTGCCGGTTCGGGTCACCGGCTGTGTGTCCGACCACACCGTCAGGGCTTCTACTCCTGTGGGATTACTTTGCCCTCCGTGGGTGTGAACAGTCAGGGCTCTGAAACTGTTTCTTCCGCAGATCTGGGGCTGTCTGGGTGGCTGGGTGGGGAACTGACTTGTCTTCCTACCCTGTCCCCAACTTCTCCAGGGATACCTTTCCCACCTTCTCTGGGCTGCCTTGCCCAGCCTGCTGAGCTAGGAACACATGGGGCAGGAGGCCTGAGTCCTCAGTTCAGAGCCAAGGTCTCAGTTTCCCAGGGGCGTGAGTTCTGTCTTAGGGCATAGCTAATATGTTGTGTGTCTGTCTGTTTCTTCGTCACACTACTTGTCTGCAAGGGTTTGCCTAGCTGCTAAAGGGTATTAGACACCAGGGGGATGGTTTCAGGATCCTGAAGACTGAATGCATATCTCTATCATTTGTCACTTTGGAAGTCCTCACTGAAGACTGCCTTCGTACACAGCGTGGTGCTTTGTGAGCTGCTAAACTTCTTCGGAGTCTGTGCGACCCTCTCTGCCGGAGTGCAGCTCTTCATGCCTGCGAGCTGAGCCAGTCCCAAGACGTGAAGTGATGGCATTTCACGTTGCCGTGTGGGTAGCAGGGAGAAGTCTTTCCCTCGTTTGCGGGGAGGATAGTGGCCTGAGCTGCCTGATGGAGAACCAGAACATTCCTAGTGTCCTGCGATCTCTTCTTTACAGAGAGGGGTACTCTGAAACACTGCCTTTGAACTCCTGGAGTTGATAGGGATTTCTGGCAGAAATGCAATTAGAAGATCTTTGTGCATCCAGAGCCCAGGAGGTGGGGTGGGAGGGTTGGGGGCCATGTCCTGCTGGTCCAGTGTAGGAACGTGTAGGGGAGACGTGCGGGGTGGGGGAAGCCTGGGGCTTACTGTTTCCTTTGCATCTGGGGTTCAGAGTCGGTTCAGGAAGTACCTTTAGAATGCATACAGCACCTGTTGAAACAAATGAAGAGAAGGAAGGAGGCAAGGCTAGCTGATTTCTTCATAAGGCCCCGGCATTGTGAGCCTCCATCCCCAGCCCGTCTGTGTGTTCGGCTCAGTGTTTTACTGTCTCACACCAGCTCAGCCTCTGAGAGATCTGCGGCTGGGGAGGTAGGTGGGAACACACTATTTTCCTTTTTACTTCCTTTTGGAATTTCAGTTCCAGCAGCGGAGTTGCTTTGCTTTTCTGAAACTCCGTTTCCAACTGCACGTTCAGTTACTCTCCCCAAACCTGCATGTCCTAGTCTCAATTTCTTTACCTTCCAAGGTAGACATTTATGTATTTTTTTTTTCTTTTGGTTCTCTTCGCTTCTTGGTAGGTGTCTACCATGCTGTTGACTGTTGTCGTTCGGGGATTTGTATTTTATTTCATTTGCTTGTCTCTCTCCTTTCTTTCCTCTCCCCCCACACCTACTGCATGGCCTGCTAAATCCGGAAATCACAGTACAGACAGGCTGGCTGGTTGGAGCCTGGGGTCTGTCCTACTCTGTCTTTGCCCACCCAGTTCTTGCCCTTCCATGGAGCTCCAGGAGACCAGAAGGGGGCAGGCTGTTCCTAAAGTCTGGTATAGCTGGAGCTTGGGTTGCAGGCAAGGAGAGGACCAGACCTTTTTACAAGCAATAGAGGCCCTTGAAATGTGCAGTTTGTTTCCAAACCCTGCTGGGGCTGCCAGGATGATGCTTTGGAGGGAGATTCAGGAGTGGCACATTTAAAGAAACAAATCCCCATGATTTTCCAGATGGCTCTTTTAGAGAGATGGTTAGACACATGCTTAGAAGAAGATGCTTTCGCTCAGTGCTCTGTTGCAGGCGGGTATGGGGTGGGTAGACAGTCTTGGCTCTTGCACGTGGGGGGATCCTGTGTCCTGGGTTGCTGGTGGGTGTGTTGCAGAAAGTGTCAGTCGGGCATTGTGTAGAGGGCATTTCCTAAGCCAGATCTTCCTGCTTCCTGATGCCCACAGCCTCAGAGCATTTGTCCTTTTTATGTTTGGGGAGCTGTGCTTCGGTGGAAGGCCCTGATTGTATTTTTGGTGCACTTAAGAAGCCAAGAGGAAACACCCCGTTTCTCAAGTAGAAAGAGTCAGAGGGCATGTCCATAGAAGATTTGCAAGCTCTCCTTTTCCTCTCAGCCTCTTTCAAAGCTCTTAAATATTAGAATTATTGGGTGGATTGCAGCTGTTTTGTGGCTGTGACTCTGATTCCTTCACTGGGTCTCCAGTAAACTGTGGATTTTACTGTCATCTCAGAATTTAAGAAACAGACGGACTCCCTTGTAAAGGGAGGAAAAATATTGGGAGAGCTGTCATGAGGATCAGCCTACAGGTTCTGAATAGATTTTGGAGAAAATGAAAGAGAGCTGTGTGTGTTAATGTAATGAATGTTTATTTTCTTTCCCTTAGTGACTCTCTTCTTGAAGTCCCCACATTTATTGCTTGTGTGCTTAGATAAACTGTTACTCAGTAAGTTTCATTTAAGACATCTAGTTTTTTATTACCCTTCCCACCCCCTGCCTGCCGCCCCACATAAGCACACAAAGTAGAATGGGGTTTCTGTATTATCCGACCCCTTTGAAATGTTGATTTTTCGGCAGAAATTCCTCATACTTCACATTACTCAGATAACTCAGGACTTTTTTAGACATCAACTGTGACTTTGAAAGATCGTTTCACTGGCTTTAGATCACCTCTGCTTCTAACAGCCTCAGAGGTGTAGCTTTTCTTCCTATCCAAATATTCTGCGACCACAGAAAACAAGGTGTTTTATTGATGGTTCCCTTTTTTTTTTTCACACTTCCAATGGAGTTTTATTTTGCTTGAGCGATGCATTACACTTTGTATACAGAAATATGCATCATTGAATAATATTTATCTTACTGCAAATGTTGCCATCTGTTTAAATCATATACTGGAAAATGTTAAAATAGATAAATAAAAGTAGAAATTATATACCTAGGTATAGATATGTTTGTAAGATAAATTCTAACATATCTATAGTTTATCAATTCATTTTTTAAAAATCTTCCAGAAGGTTGGTTGGTGAAACGCTTGCTCTTTTTCACCTAGGAAGCCAGCCATGGCATAAGTTCTTACTTACTGGTGACTGTTCAATTTTGATTCATGGTTTTAATAGAACAGGAAATTTGGCGGCTTGAGTTAAAGCAGATACTTGACATCGCGTCATTGTGTGTGTATGTGTGTGTGTGTGTACCTCAGAAAGCAAAGATATCCTTAGGGATATCTCTGAAATAAGAGTCTGCCCCACCCCCTACTCCAGAGCTGTTTATGATCCATAAGGTCATAAATCCATCTATATGAGTGTTTCAGTGCAGAAGAACTTAACATGCACACCTGTTGGACTGCACAGGTGAGGTTGAAAGTCTCTATCTTTTGACCAGTGCTGCCTTAAGAGTTGCCACTTATGATGTCTCTCTTTCCCTTTCTTTTGCATTTCCCCATTCCTATGGACCCAGATCCCCGTCTACCAGAAACAATGAGAGAATGCCTTGGGGAAAATAAAAAATAAGTAAAAAACAAACTTGATCTTAACAAAACCTACATTCTAAGGAAGGGGGTGGGAACAGGAGAAAACATCCCAAGAAGTGTGTGCGAGGCCCCAGCGCCAATGAAAGAGGCCTCTGTTCAGTACCCTCAGGCCTGACATACCTGGGTTCACCTCCTGGCTCGGCCCTTTCTCATGCCTCTAATCTTGGGCAAGTCACTGTAATTTTGGCCCTCTGTGAATCTGAGCTACCTCATAGGGATGTGTGAGGACGAAATGTAGCAATGTGTGTGAACTCATGTGGGCCTAATCAGTGCTCAAAAGTGAGCTGTTCTTAAGAGGAAATTCTTGGTATATTTGAAAATGAGGAATTTCTTGCAGTTATTCATTTTCCCACGCAGTATAGGGTGCGAGTAAATCCAAGGCAGTAGAATGAATACAGCTCTTTCTGTGTGAGCAGGACGGAATGTGGTAGAGGAAGGAGTACTGACATTTATTGAGTGCCTGCTGTGTGCCAGGCATCTTTTAGGTATTTTGCATACATTAGGTTATTAAATGCTCACCCCTGCCCCCCAAAAAAAAAAAAAAAAATTCCAGGAAGGAAGACGGTATTACACAACTGATAAAAAGTTAAAACTAAGGACACTCGGCTAGAAATCACTGGTCTTATGATGGCTTGTTACATGGCAAGAATAATGGAGGGACTTGTAAATATTACCTTACTGTCTCACTGATTTCT